TTTTTATTAAATTTTAAATATAAATGCCCCTCTTGAGGGGGAGGGAAGCAACACACCTCCTCGATATGTTGTAGTTGGCTTGCCCATAAGAAGTGGTTGCCTAATTTATTCAAGCTGTTGTTGCCTACCCAAATCCATACAGTGATTGTCTACCCAAATTCAAGCAATTGTTGCTTTCAAGCTATCATTACCTACCCAAACTCAAGCAATTGTTGTCTTCATGCTATTATTTTTTATTCAAACTCATAAAATTATTGCCTTCAGGTTATTTTTTCCTACCCTAATTTAGGTAGTTGTTGCGTATAGGTTATCACTGTTTACCTAATCTCAGAAATTTATGACTTTCAGACAATTGTTTCCTATCCAAACTCAACCATTAGTAACTTTTAGACTACTATTACTTACCTAAAGTCATGCAATTATTTTATCATTTTAGGCTACTTCTCTTAATTTTTCTTGGGTTGTTGTTGCCTAATGATTCTTAGGCTATACTTCTTCATTTATAAGGCAATTATGACCCATAATAATAAAATTTTTCCCTACCCTTAAAATATGTGTTGATCATGTTTTCTTCTTTATATATACTTGATGTTTAGCTTAATATTGTTGATATCAGTGATATCAACAACTTTAAAAAAGCTGAACTTTTTTTTATGGAAGGTATAAACATTAGCTTTGATTTCATTAAAATGAACTATAGTCAATAATTATATTTCATTTTTATTATAAACCTTACAGAGAATAAGACGATCTAATGGAAGTTAAGGGGAACTTTGAAAGCCATAGAAGATCCCAAAAGTTTTTTGGTGATGATTTTATAAAGCATGGTGAACTCTTGCATGTTGATCCAATAACTTTGTATATTAACATAGCATAAAACTTGATCTCACTAAAATTCATGATTTTGATACTTGATGAATTCTTTATCTTCATGTAAGAATGTTGATTCTTGATAACATGTCTTGCAAAAAAAAAAAAAAAATCCTCATAAGAAAGACCTCATGAGTGCGTCTTTTAGGGGTATAAGTGGAGATTGTGAATGTCACTTGCACTTAAGGGTTCTTTTGCTGATGATTGAGTCCACTAATAGTTTTCCAGCTAACATACCTCATGAGTGTATCTTTTAGGGCTATAAGTGGAAATAGTGTGTCATTTTCTCTTAAGGGTATTTCTAGTAAGGATTATGTCACTACTAGCTTCCATTGAGACTATCTCATGGACATGTCTTTCAAGGGTATAGGTGGAGATTATATTTACCACTTGCCCTCAAGGGTCTTATAATAGACAATATTATTTATAAAAAAATTAATTGGTGATAATGAACATAAATGATAGAATTTTGTCTAAAAAAAGAAATTCTCTTAGGAAATGAAATGAGAAACTTCCATGTGTTTTTTAAGTGATAAGAACTATCATCATTTGAGGGAAAATGATCCTTCATAAAGATAAGGTATGTTAGAGTTATACTCCTCATTTAATAATTTAAGTAACTTGTTTGCCATTATTCTTTCAATCTAGTTGTCTAGCTTCACGTAAAAGCTGAAAAATATAATTTTAAGATTCTTCATACTCTATAAGCGATATTTTAGAACAAAAAATGCATCTTTACTATCAGAGAGGTGCTCATTAAGGGGAAAAGATGTAGAGGATTATTGTCAATGGCTATGAGATTATCCCTTAGAGTGACTGGTATTAGAGTAGGAGGCTCCATCACTATGAGTATTATGCTCCTTAGCCATTGAACGAATGCTTACACTTCTATAAAAATGAGATTTTATTTTCTACAGATGGCGCCAAACCGTTTGAGGATAGAAAAGTTCTCAACAATAAAGAAATCTTATGTCTTAAAAGATACATATGTATAAGACAACCAACATTTTTATATGAAAAAAAATCTTAAAAAAGACAAATCACAAGGTCTGATCTAGAGTCAAAGTAAGCATTAGAAAGTTAAAAGTATAGTGGTCCACACTTCCCCTTTATTAGAGAAGATGGTATTATAAGATGATGTTGGTGGCTACAATATCACTTGTTGGATATAAAAGTTGTTATTAGTTGTAATAATGGTCGTTGTTTGTTGTAGCAAATTACTGATGATGGTCGAAATTAACCATTGGTGACTAGCAGTGAACTTTTGTGGTTAGTGACAAACTCTTGTGACCGGTGATAAGTGTTAATACTTCAAGAGGTAAGCTTTTGTAATTAGCTCACTCTCTTCTCTCTTTATCCTCCCCTCTCAAGTTAGAATGACCTATTATAGTTTCTAAGATGAAAATTTTGTACAATTGGTCAATCTCCCAAAACACTCTATCAGGCAGTCAACATTAATTTCCTTAATGACAAGTAGATTTCAACATTTGAGTGTCTTAAAGATATTAAAATTGAATGATATTAGGCTCAATGGATTCCTAACATTGAGCTAATTGATTTAAATGTAAGCATGCCAAATTTTGAAATCATTTAACCTTCTAATTAATGCATCAAAACCATAATTTAGACTCATATTGGATTACTTTTGTTGTTATTGGGTTGTTCATTTGGAGACAGTTAATTTGACTATAAACTTGTTAAAATTGGGGCAGAGATGATATGAATTTGAATTTAGAATATTTAATACTCAAATTACATCGAGATTCATACCTGATGATAAAAATTTCTTAATGACACATCAATAATGAAGAAGAATTTTGAAAGTACTTAATGTAGGAATGCTTCTTGGCAATTAATTAATGATTCTAGAAATTTTATTTAAGCCACGAAAACACTACTGCTCTGAATTCCTACGTTGAGTTTGTAGGACGGTTATTCTTAATGAAAACTTATCAAATTTCTCTGAAGTTCACACTCCAAAGCTTAGAATAAAGAATTGTATTAAGAAAATGTATGGGTAAGTTTGTTCATGACTATGAATTATTTTTGGATGTCCAGTTTTAAAACTCAACCTCTAATTTAAGAATTATTTATAGTAGAAGTTTAAATTCGATCTAGAGGGCGGTAGGGATAGTAATTAAAAATTAAGGCAATTAAAAGTTATCAATTGGACATTACAAGGAGTTCTAAAATGGAAACGACGAAGAAGATAGCTTAGATTAGGATATTGTGACTGAACCATTATAGAAAACTTCAAATTAATACTATGAATTTCAAGGTATGTTATGGTATTTGATATCTGCTTGACAAATTAAGACCCACAAAGTATCCCAATGGAGACTTATAATCAATTACATTATACAACATGTAATTGAATAAATGAGGAGAATGTTGGATGTCATTATAACAACACTGTCTTAGCATGAAAAAACCTCATTTTTGAATGAATTAAAAAAAGCCACTTTAGTGATTTCAGTAGTATTCCTCAAGATTGATATGATTTTTAGCAAGTTCAACTATGACAATGTCTATGCCAGTTATAGGTCAAGTTCATAATTAAATGACGACTTTCATAAATCTTGAGTGATTATTGATTAAATCTTTTAAATTTTTAAGAAACTCAACAAGATATTGTATAATCATCGAAGATACATATAAGTTCCTTAGAGGTCTCTAAGCACTAACAAATAGGGAAATACATGCCTTCTGAATTCAACAAAGGATGTGAAGAATTTTAGTAAAAGACATAAAAAATATTGAATGGGTAATTCTTTTAATTGGCATAGAGCTAGTGATATTGATAAACCATTCATTTCACGAAAAAAATAAAAATTTGAAGTCACATGATTCTTGGATCAGTTCCTCTTTTATAGAATTTTAAATATAGTATTTCAAAATTTGGTTAGAGTTTCGACTTTTATAATCTCCATGCATAGTATTTATTTGTTGAATTCTTTGCCCTTTAACTTGCTAGGTATAAGAAGTAGACCTATCATTGTTGTTGCAGTAGGAAGGTTTGTCAATGGAAAATGTGGAGTTTAGTGCTCAAATGCCTATGCATTATCTTGTATGATTAAGTCAGATGAGACTTATGGTGTTCTTACTTTCATGATTACTCTAGGAGTTTGTTCTAAAGCTGCCAGAATTATTCTCATTATTGGCTCCTCCATCTCAATAGTTGTTTGTTGTTTATGAAGAATTGATTATCCATGTGTAGTGTTATTTTCCTCATTGGTTGTTTTGCTTCTTATATTATTCGATTAATATTTTTTAACATTGACATGTATATTATATGACCTAAATAGATGATGGATGTAAATTTATCTATGACAATTCTCAATTCATATTTATAAAATCTATCATAATTTGTTCAAATTCTACACTAAAAGAAAGAAAGAAAAAAGTAAAGACCGAGATCCAGAAAGAAAATTGTTAGATTATTTATTATAATTTTCATAAAATATAGAGTTGACACTCTTGCCCATGTTGTGGCCTTTTGAACCTTTATATAACAAATTTTGAGGAGCTAACGAAAGGGTTATAAAATGACATAAATAATAAATATATGATATATACATTATAAACTGTCAAGATGGTAACTAAGATATATATGGATTGTTGTCTCAATGACTATATGGGATTTCTAGCCAAACCGAATAGTCAACACTATTAAATTGGCCAGTTCCTTCTAGGGTCGCAAAGAGTGCCTTTGGGGTACGTGAGCATCTTCTCTATTTTTGTCATCTTATATGAGCGAGTGATTATAATGCCTTCGACGATTCACTTTAAGTTAGGGTTTATTAATTTATTGGGCTCTCTTGAATTTTGCGAGCTTGGGCTTCCTAGTTTAAAGCAAGTTATTGTTCCCGAACTTCAACCATTGGTGAACTTTCTTTATCTTCTTAGCTTTAACTTGGCTACATGTTTGATTAAACAAAAACTTATTTCTTTATTTCGTTTGAGATAATTAAAAATTATTGTTAAATTTAAATTTCATAATCAATCCCATTAAAATTTCCAAAAAAAATTATAATTTTCAAAGCTATATTCAAAATGCATTGAATTTACATATTCACTTGCGTGAATGCAAGTAGAATTTATCTTCTAATTATAACGCAACCCCTTTTCAGGTGTTTGTGCTGTGCTTGTCGGCCGGCCTAAGCATATGCTGGTTCAACACGTTATGCTTCGTCCTCTGCATCCAGAACTTCACCACAGACCGTTCCCTCGCCCTCTCCCTCACCGTCAGCTTCAACGGCCTCAGCGCCGCCTTATATGGCCTCGCTGCTAACGCCATCAACGGGCCCCCTTCCTCCTACCTCCTCCTCAACGCCGCAATCCCCTTCTTCGCCTCTGTTTTTGCTCTCATACCCATCCTCCACCGGCCGCCTCCCCAACCCCCACAAGCCTCCTCAGACAGAAACGTCTTTCTCGTCCTCAATACCCTCGCTTTCCTCACCGGCCTTTACCTCCTCTTCCACAACCCCAACTCCCCCAACCCTTTTATCTCTGCCCTAATCCTCTCCGGCGCAGTAATCCTCCTAGCCTTTCCGCTTGTCGTTGTTGCGATAGAATGGGCTCATTGCTCCAATGATTCCGATGGCTTGGTCCTATACGACTTGCAGAAGGCACTGATTGTCGGAGAGGTCGTACAAGAGGACGTTGAAAGTACTGCCAATGGGTGGCTGTGCTACTTCAATGAGGTGACGACGAAAGACAGGATTACAGTACTGGGGGAGGAGCACGGGGCGAGGAGACTTGTCCGCCGGCTAGATTTCTGGCTGTACTACATCTCTTATTTCTGCGGCGGGACGGTTGGTCTCGTTTACAGCAACAACCTGGGTCAGATCGCCCAGTCTTTGGGGCAGCGATCGCAGACCACCTTTCTCGTCAACGTCTACTCCTCATGCTCCTTCTTCGGCCGCCTCCTCTCCGCCGCTCCCGACTTTTTCCCCGGGTTCGCCTAATTTCACATAATTAAGCCATCCATTTATATAAATTCTCAAGGAATAGTTTTCCGTTCAATTCTCCTTGATTTATTGGTAATATGTTATTATTACCAATGAACATCTGATAAGATTTAACTTACATTCAGACATCCCCTTTACATATTTTTTGTGAATCAAGAACATGTCTGACCGACCAATAATGCTAATCCCTTGCGACATGCAGGAAGATAAGGTTCGCCAGAACCGGCTGGCTAGCCGCAGCACTCGTCCCAATGCCGCTGGTTTTCTACAAGATGTCCAAGGAAGAAGACGGGCAAACTCTTGTCGTCGGAACAGCACTGATTGGTCTGAGCTCCGGATTCATCTTCGCGGCGGCTGTGTCCGTAACATCGGAACTCTTTGGGCCTTCGAGCTTTGCAGTGAACCACAACATCGTCATAACAAACATTCCGTTGGGCTCCCTCATCTACGGATTGCTGGCCGCGCTTGTCTACGACGCCAACGGTAGTGTTGGCGTGCAGCGGCTATGCAAGGCTGCGGCGACGCTGCTTCGCGATGGCGTGGTGGTTTGCATGGGTCCGCGGTGCTATGGAAAGACCTTTCTCGGCTGGGGATGTATTTCGATGCTTGGTCTTGCTTGCGGCGTTGCGCTTTACTTGAGGACGAGGGCGGCGTATAGATCCGCGGATGAAAGTGGTGGCTAGAGGTTTGTGCGAACGTTATTGGCTCTCCCAAGCAATAAAATTATATATATCTATATATATATATATATATATATTATATTTATATATTTATGTATATATATTTATATATTTATGTATGCATGTGTATTGTAAAATTTGACTGTTATTGGCTCTCCCAAGCAATTGTAAATCTACTGTGAATCAATACCAGCCCATGTTTACTAGTGTTAATTCATCTTTTTGAGCAAATAGCATGAAATATTAAACAACCTGCTATTTAATTTAAATTTAAGCAATTGAGATGAACGTTAAGGTAAGAGAATGTGGCATTTCATAAGCAGCTTGCATGTTCAATTTCAAAGGATATTAGTAGTATTTCTTCTTGTAAAATTTGGCGAAATTATAAACTAAAGATTTGGTTCATGAAATATTGGATCTGCCATGTCAAATTATAAAAAGAAAATTAAAATGAAATTGTGAAAGCATACATTAATTCTTGATTACTTGTAGTTATGAGTTATTGTCGTTCAAATCAATGTATGTTTCTGTCGATATAATTACAAATAAGTGGAATTCTCTTTCCCTTTGGAAAAGGTAATTGATACTTGTACATAACAAAATGTGGACTACAACCATTTTAAAATAACCACCTTAGTAATCATTTCTTTCACTTTTTGTACTTCCTGCCCATTAAAAAATTTAAAAGTACAAATGCATCTCAACACATATGTTTTAGACAATATTTTAAAATTTTAATACCCATAAGTTTATCATTAATATCTTATTATATCAAATTAATGATGTTTAACTTCATGAGCATAGCACATTTATTTACATATGTTGGCCCATGTAAAGTATTATTTGATTATTTTTCAATAATCTCCTACTTGAGCCACATATGCTACCTCATAAATATGTTCACCCTAGTGAGCTCAAACTTTATTATCATATATTAGGGCATTCCTTAACAATCTTGTCAACTAATTATATCAATATACGGCCAAAAAAACATTCATTATAAGTTCAACTTGACTAGCCCATCAATGATCATATGTATCAATGCAACTCAATAACATATATCAAATATGGATGTGTAGCATGAAAGTTACATGCAATTTGATATATAAATGCCTAATTCCTACTAGTCCAAACTGAAATTTTAATGAGATAAAAGTTGAGCCAAATTAATTAGAGTGAAAACTAAACTAATTTCTTAATTTCTAGAGAAAATAGACAATTTATATATATTTAAAAGGCATAACATCCAAATACAACCTCTTAGTAAAACTACATATTATCAAGTAATTAAACACCTATACGTGCAGTATGCTCATGAAAGACATTGGGTGGAATTTCTTTACTGAGTAGATCCACAATTAAAGAGTTTGTATTAATGCTTTTAATAAAATATTTGATCTTAAGTGACATGATATATGATCGTGTCAAAGCCTAAGAGGTAAGGATTTACACCGTAAATAGATGAGCGACCTCATAATACTATGTCTGAAGTGAAATTCACTTAAAGGAGTGAAACCTCATAAACCTTGTCTAAGGAAAGAGAAAGAACACAAATAAAATGCAATGAACTTATAAATCTACCTAGAAAGTACTGTCATCTAAACCACCATAAGTACAACTTATCTAATCTTACGACATCTAGGATTAGTGTCTTATGGTGTCTAAAGGCGAGTAAATGTAAAGTGGGAATATTTATCAAATTTTAGTTAAGACGGTAAAGATAAAGAAGACTATGGATTCTATTCATTCCGGGGTCATTGGTAATTCGGATCTACTTGTCAAGAAAGGTAATTAACCTATTTTGAATGAAAAAATTTTGTCAGCAACCATAAGTTGTGTTGTCCAAGAAACCTTAGTAAACCCGACGAGTTAATTATTATTGTTCAAGTGACATTAAGTTCCCCTAGTCTAATTCCTCAATGTTCATATTACATGTTTAAAAATTAAGAATGATACATTTGTAATTTTAGAAAAATGACAAGCATAACGCCCCCTCACTTTCTTAATTATGAGTTTCTTTATGCCTTAATTGTTTTGTGTTTCATCAGTTGGTTTTAATTAACTTTTAAGGTTTCAAAGAGTTCAAATTATGTTCAAGGGTAAATTTATAATTTTTCAACTTTATCCACTTTTTTTTGAAATTTAGTAGTTTGGCTTATTAATCTTATCAATTTTGTTTGAAATATTGAATGAATTATTGGTTTTGTGACTTATATTTAATGAAGGTTAGCAATGTTTAAGAAGCCCAATTTCTCATATCTTCACAATTATCATTTTGCCCTTATGCATTTTTTGATGCTGTAGCTTAGGGTTTTGGCTATGTTTTTTTCACTTTAATGGGTTTATGAAGTTAAATCGGAATTCTAATTTTATATTTTGGTACTTAAGTTTGGAGACAAAGGTTTATTTCTCATAGTTTAAGTAGCTTAAGAGAATATAGGTTTTTTGTTTCAATTATCTTTTCATTTTCTTAATTAACTTTATAACAATAATATTATTTCACGTTATACACACACCCACACATGTTATTATTACTATTATTATATCCTTCCTTTTTTATCTTTTAAATTTTTTATTAACTTGAAGTTTTATGGAAACTATATTTTTTTTATAGGATGATGATTGCTGATCTTTCCTTGAATTTAGTTAGGATTTGGGTATGATTTTGGGAAAGGAATTTGGAAGTAATATTGATGGAGACTTTGTAAGATTTAAGTGGAGATTTTTGTGAAATTGGGTAAAAATTTGAAGTGGATTTTAATGTAGATATAAATGGAGTTTTGAGTGGAGGTTTAGATGAAGGTTTTATGTGGGTGGGTTTTTGATGGAGCTTTGAGTTGATTTTGATGAAGATTTTAAATGGAGTTTGGAGTGCAGTTTAAATGAAGTTTTAAATGAGTTTTTAGATGACTTTATGAGTGGACATTTTAGTGAATTGATTTTTTTAAAGATTATAAATATTTGGTTATATATTGGGGAGTTGTATTTCCTCTTCTATTTTTTAATATCTTATTAAATTTTTTTTTGTCAAATTTACATACACACTACACAATTCTTATATCTTTTCATAACTATCATTTAAATATTCCTTTTTTTTTACATAAAATCATTAATTTTTTTTTATCCATTTAAATTTTAATATCACAAATATTTAAAATTACAATTTCTTATATGAAATACTTCACAATATTTTTTTAAAATACTTAAAATTTAAACACACTTTCACATTTGAAGTTTTAATTTTTTCACACAAAAATGCTTAATTTTAAACATAACACGTAAACAAAACTTGTTTTATATTTTTTAAAATTTAGTTTACATACAACATACATAAAATTCTTTATAAATGTAATACATAAAAAATTCATTTTCTTAGATACAAAGCTTTTGAATATTTTACTTTAACATTTCAAAATATTTGATTTTTAAATATGACATCTTGAAATTAATTATTATTTACAAATAGTTTTAAATATTTTAATTTCACACTAAAAAAAATATTTTATTTTTTAAATGCAGCATATGGAAATTATTTTTTCTTTACATACAAAGCACATTAAAAATTTTAATTTCACACTAAAAAATATTTTATTTTTATACTAAAAAAATATATCTTTTAGCCATAACACAAAAAATATTCTTTCTATGGGAATATTTATTTTTATACAAAAAAAAAAAAAACTTTTATTTTTAAACATAGCATATGGAAATCAGTTTTCAACATTCAAGCACATATAGGAAAAAAAAATTTGTTATATATTTTTATATAAAAAATTTTAAAATTTTTTTATGTATAAAAGATTTAGTTTTTTAAATACAACACATAATCATGGGTTTCATTAAAACCTAAATTTTTTGGAAAAAAAATTATTATTATTGTTTTTTCACTTTTTAGGTGAAAATTAAAGTTGAAATTAAAGTTTTAGATATGTAAATACAAACACGAAATATTAATTATATAAATATATAAGAATATTGTGGTGTGTTTTTGAAAATCATTTTCATTCATCTTTTCATTTTTTATTATATTTTTGGTTGGCTAGAATATGGATTTATTCATAAATTATTATTATTATTATTATTATTATTATTATTAGGTATTAAAAATTATTTATCTCTCTTCTTCTCTTCTCTCCCTTTTCAATTGGGTTTGTGTTTGGTCATAATGATTACTTGTAGTTATGAGTTATTGTCTCTAAAATCAATGTGTGTTTTTTGTTGATATAATTACAAATAAGAGGAGTTCTCTTTTCCTTTGGGAAAGTGAATTGATACTTATATATATGAAATTGGCACTATAACCATTTTTAAATAACCACCATATTATGGGTAATTATTTCTTGAACATTTGTACTTCCTGCCCATTAAAAAATTTGAAAGATCAAATAAATCTCAACGCATTTGTTTTAGACACTATTTAAAATTTTCAATACCCATAAGCCTATCATTAATATCTTATTATATCATATTAATTATGTTTAAATTCATGATAGCATAACACATTTATTTACATATGTTGGCCCGTGTAAAAAATTACTTAATTATTTTTCAATAATCTTCTACTTGGGCCGCATATGTTAGCTCATAAATATGTTCACACTAGTGAGCTCAAAGTTTATTATCATGTATTAGGGCATTCCTTAATAACCTTGTCTACTAATTATATCAATATATGACCAAAACAACATTCATTACAAGTTCTCTATCTCTTTATGCTTCACAAGCGATGAATATGTCTGCGGGTTTTATTAAAAGGTTGGAAAAAACTTTTCAATAAATTTCTTTGGGAAGGTAAGGGTAAGGCCAATATTCATTAGAAATGTTGGGACAAGCTATGTAGGCCCCTAGACAAGCTATGTTTGTGTTGAGGTGGTGGAGTGGTTTCACGACAAAAATGAGGTAGCTTTGGATGTGATTTCTCATGAGGGGCTTGAATTTTTAATAATTTTTAGAAAAAATGTTATTTAGCGTTTAAAGATATTTTATGGTTTAATCATCTGGATTATAGGTTATGAAGAGGATGAGGGGTT